GCAGGAGTGTACGCGGTGGGCGGAGGACTTTTTCGACCACTTACCTTATCAAGCGGCAACACAGTTGCTTTCGCCATGGGGCGGACGACTGTTGTAGTGTGACGTTCATCGACATCGGCGAGTTCGACCAGTCCGAACACTCGATCGCGGTGACGGGGGGGGGGGGGAAGCGGTGGACTGTGACCTCACCGCCGATCCCCCAGCACTTCGGGGGAACGTAAGCTAAGCCAGGGTCCTGAGCCATCCTTTCGGTACCTGCAGGGCCAGAACATACCAACTACGTCAGCCGGGGAGTACGGCGTCCTGACCTCCCAAGTCAGCCCCGCGGGGGAGATCAAGCAGTCCTGCCTCGAAGAGCCGTTTGCAAGTTAGGCCGCAGCGATCCCAACCTTCATTGCCACTGGACGGAACGGAGAGCGGTGTTGCAGAAACATGATACCCGATGCTAGCCGTGTGCCTCCAGGCTTAGTGAGTACTGGGGATAATTAACATGCATGGCTTAATGCCAATGCTTCTGGTTGCGGGGAAAGTCATGTTCTGCCAATCCCTGTTTGGAAGTCCTTTTACCTTCCTTTATGCTGAGCGGACTATGTTCCTGCCGTCTCCTTCAGGGAATACTTGATGCGTTTCCCGCGACTCCCTCCTTTGCGAATTGCCTTGAGCTTCCGCCTCGGCATGTGCAATAAGACGGGCCGCTGAGCCACTCCAAATCGATCCGATTGCCCCGCAGGGGCACCCTGAAACTGTTTCAGTACTCACCAAAGGGGCTTTTGGCTCACAAGACTTTTCTGTTTGGACGCCTGCTTGTTTAACTGGCCGGGGTTTTCTTCCCGACATTTCCCTTTTGACGTTCCGTTCATGTTCACTTGTCTTCACTAGGTTCAGGTCTGGCTTGGAGTTCTTTGGAGGTTGCTGAGGGATAACTTAACAAACGTGGCTTGGACGGAAGCCAACCTCAGTGCTCGATTTGATTCCGGCGGGCATGCAACTCACACGTCCTAGATGTTTGTTGGAGTCTGTTTCGTTGATAACCTTTTTTTCGTTTCAGCAGAACCTCTTCCTGATAGATGCGCCCGTCAGAACCAGAGTGCAACGTGTCTTGCCACCGAGGTGGGGAAAACCCCAGTGCCAGATCTCTGCCAGCGTGATGTGTTATTGCTACAGTGTCCATGATTCTGGTTGCTCCTACACCTCGTGTTTGCGGTTTGGAAGGCAGAGACAGTACCCTTGGTGTTGTGCGCAAATAACACCAATCGCTCCGCAACATTCGGGGGCGCTAACGTGCGCGGGCAAGGGGAGCTTCCCCTTGTCTGGCGAAAGAAGAGAGAGAAAGAGGGGGAGTCCCACCACAGACTTGGCGAAAGAAAGAGAGACGGAGTCCCTTATGCCCAATGAAGAAGGAGAGAAACAGATTGCATGGTAGCTCTCATGTCGTGACAATATCTACCCCACACGATTTGGCATGCAGATTTGGCATGCAGACACGGGGGGGCGTTTATGCAGGAAGTAAGGCAACGGTACACTGTTCACCAGATGTAGCACAGCGTTACGTCTGTGTTTGCCATGTTGTGTTGGGGTACAATCCGGTGCCTGAAAAGTTGCGACGCAGAACAAGCTGCGAGAGGGCACGCAGAACCTGTATTGCCTTTAGGATGAGGCCTGGGGAGAGAGATTCTGAGATAGATATGGGAGTTCGCTTGTCAGAGCCCGCGCTGGGGGCTTCGTCTGGGATTCCGAGAGTTGAACATGAACCATCGTGATATGGATGGATCGAATGCTTTTCTAAAACTTCACTTGGCAGCGGATGCACTTCTCTCTGTCGCGTTTTTCCGGAACCTCGTGCAAAACTCAGAAACAGGCGTGCCGTTCAATGTGGTGAGTTTAATCTTCCCCCAAACCTGAGAGTAAGGGTAGAAAGAGAAAGCGAGCCCGTGAAGAGTGTCAAAGGGGCATAGAGTCGTGGGCAGTGTGCAATGTGTTCTGTCATGTCGACGTCCGAAGAGCAGCTGTTTATCCTTCGGTGGAAGCACTGGCTTGACAACTAATTAGAGTACTCGTCTGATCATTTTTTGGGGTTCCTGACGCAACGTTTTCCCCATACGCGAGAGCTGGAAAAAGTCCGCAGCCGACCCCACTTTCACTTGCGAAGCGGGGTTGGGCACGTGTTTGCCCGAAACCTGAAAGAAGGAAAGCCCCGGATCATGGTCCGCCGGAAGAAAGCAGAGTGTCCCATCCCTGTCCATCAATACCGAGGTCATAAAGTTTATGAAGGCCGTTTTTTCAACTTTCAAAACACAATGAGGTGGAACAAAGAACTCACAGCTTCATGTGCCTTGCAACGGATAGCAAAGTAGACAAGGCTTGCCGCAAGCAGACCGACAAGAAACTTTGACCTGGATGGCGCAGGTTCGGGTTGGAAGTCCTTTGTGCTGCTGTTGCCAAGCCTGGCTTGATCATAGCAGGCATTCGAGGTTATGAGCTTTCCGGATACGTTGCTTTTCGATACAGCCCACACCTCAGGGTGATGAGTTCCCGAAGCCGGTCTTATGCTGAAGCTGAACAGACCAGGCCTTGTTGCTGGATCGGTACTATGCCAGCCTGCCCAAGGAGGTGCCGCACCGCTTGGCAACCGTGAGTCCAACGTCTTGTCAAGCACCCGCTTCGATGTTCAGGATTGCAATACCGCAGAATCGCAAAGAAGGCTGTTGGCAGCCGCTCGCTTCTCAGGGAATGTCGCGACTTGCATGCCGTCCTGGACCGATAGCCTAATTGTGCAACATGCAAGGTTTGTGTGGCGCTGAAGACTGGATCCAACGTAGAGCCGCAGCTGCCGCTGCGACAGGTGCGCAGTGTCTGCCTTCCAGATTGTCTTATCACGGCTTAATTAGGAGAGCGAGCAAGGAAGACGCATGTATGTATACATACGAAATACGAACAAGCATCTTATGTTGTACAACTGTAGGTGCATGGTGCCCGCCTCCGCCCAAAGATCTGCTTGAATTTGCTTCAGTCTGGGGTCGGGTCGAAGATTGAGGGTCCAAAATGCCCAAGACACTTTTCCGTGGATCTTTCGTCTGACACTTAAGAGCTTTATCTACAGAATGAGAGCAAAGCAGACACTGCAAGCGTTAACTCCTATCGGCGCCCACAGTTACACAGGCAGACCCATAGACACCAAATGTTCGGTCTGTGTTCACTCTTTTCTATTTCTTATCTGTTGGTACTTATGTAAGGGTGATAAAACTTTAACTCCTATGAAGAGCAGCCCATAGAGGCCAAGCGCTTGACCCTTTTCCACTCTTGCCTTGCGGTAAAAGAACGGTCGAGGGATTGTTAAGCATGGTATAAGTGCTCTTCGACAAACATGTCATCAAAGACGAGTGGTGTAGGCGTCGACTCAACAGGAAACAAATTGAGATGTGCTGGTGTTGTTTAGGATACAAAGCAGGATCAGCGTGAGGTTCTGATAAGGTTGATAATACCTACAAGGGAAATGCAAAGATTGTGCGGACTTTCTGAGTCATGTTGAGTCCGGATTTGCAAATAGGTCATACACACAATAATATGCTTACAGTGGCATCATTATTCATGATTATTGAACCCGCTTGAATCATTGGTGCGTGGAAGAAATGTCGCGGTTTTAAGAAGGTTTGCTTCCCCGTAGTTTGCACACGAGGCAATTCGGAAACCAGTTGCGGAAAGACTCACAGTGTCGTACGCAGCCAGTGCCGTCCTGTGTATCCCGGCACAAAGTGCTTCGGGTAATTACTGGTCTGCAACCTTCCCGTCTTGGATCCACGAGATTCCCTGGAATGGAGATGAATGATAGACGTCGCCAGATAACACACTACTGATAGCAGGTGGTTGCACATCTCGGGCACGACGAGGCATTAGCTGGTCCAAGCCGTGTGTTGGGGGAGCTCGTCAGATCTCATTGGGCACTTTCTAGTGCCTCTCCGCCACGCTGCAGGTTCCCTTTGACGATGTCATTGCCGCTGAGCTTATCATCCTCAGGAAGCTTAGGCATTTTGCGCATCTCGGTCCCTTTGCAAAAGTTCTCTTTGGATGTTGGCAGGTTTGATGTGGGTACGCCGACTGCACGGGATTTCCTGGAGGCAGTGAATGCTTTAGGGAACGCCTCGTGCGCGAAGTTTGAAGCTGCTCTCAGGCGCTTGGTGCCAGGCTGAGCAATTTCCAAGCGCCGCGAGCTTGACCTCAAGGACGTTGCATATGCGGCCAGTCCCGTCGTTCAGCTGTCTCATTCCACTTTAGTAGCCGCCGTCTGTCTGAGGCCCGATCGAGCCCAACACTTGGCAGATTTCTTGTGCACTCCTGAGAAATATCCGGGCATAGCCACTGATTCTGAGTCGCATTCTTTCCTGGGGTAACATCCTTTTCGGAGACTGTTTCTCAGTTGTGATACGATGCGATTGGCGGTGTTGCTGAGGCTGCAGCTGTCCCTGGCAGATGCTGGTTTGCATTACAGGCATGACGTTCTTTTGTGCCTCTGTGTGGCCTAGTGTTGTTAACGCTCCAGGTATCCGCACTCGATGCTGGCTGCTGCAGCCCTGCTTCTGGCCCTCTCGGTAACCTGTGCTCCAGCAGCCGCACAGACGGAGCTCCTGGCTTGTGGGTCCAAGCCGGTCATAGTCCGGTCATGCTTCCACGTATTCCACGTCAGGCGGTGCTGGAGGACCTGGAATTGCACTTTCCAGAGGCGGCACATCTTGGGCTGGAGCTTGGAGCTGCATTCATCACATTTGGGTCATTCCCTCAAGGCCGCAGATCAACACGGCACTTTGGTCAGGTTCTCAAGGGTTCCCTGTTGTGGCAACTTTGCATCCTGGCGCTCATGAACCATCGGTTCAAGGCAAACTGCGGCCGTGATTTGCAGTCACTCTGGCTCATGATTTTCGCCAACCAAGAGAACATGTGCCCCTTGTCATGCGTGGTCGTCGTCTTCGCGATGTATATAAATGCTACCCGAGGAAGTGCATTGCCTGCCGTGCTGTGTTGATCATAAATACCCATTAGCATGCTCGACGCAACACACATGGAATTGAAATGTCTTCGGAAGGTACCTGAACCATATCCGCCTGAAGTTCTCGCGGGCCAACTATCGTTCAGGCACGTTGCCTGTGAAGTGTGCCTGCCATGCAAGAAGCACTGCCGATTCACTTGCAGTTTCGACGGTTCGGCCTCCGGCGGCACCGATCGCGATTGTTCCCAGCAAGGCTCCAGGCAAGGCAGGGAGAATGACAGAGTACGAGTGGGACCGTAGCAAAGGATGCCACAACCATTTCTCACGGGCTTTGTGTCAACAGCGAGTTTCTTAACATCAAGTGCTTCAGATGGGAGATTCACGCATTCTGCAATATCTTTCCACTCCTCCAACAGAACCGCCATTGCTCATGCAACGACAGATTTCGACGAAGAACCGTACAGCGATGGTACACAGCACCTTGCCAATCATCCTCATAATCGTGGACGTTTCTGGAGCAAGAGCTTGAACGCAACAATCCCACAGCAGCGGAGCTCTCGAGAGAACGAGGTTCTCTGCCAACTGCATGCTTGGCAAGGTTGCTTAGTAACGAATGTTCCATCACGGATGGATAAGAGATAGGATTTAGGATAGGCTCAAGAGATCTGTGTACACAATGCAGGCATCTTGGCACGCTGTTTTCGTTGATTCCCGCTTTCAGGAATGTCTGGTGTTGGACAGCTGGAGGACTTAACCTTTGAAGGGTTCGCAGGTCATGGCACATGAAAAAACTCAGATTCTGAAGTCTTGAGCGACCGCAATGCGACATACTCTTAGGAGCAACATGCAGCACCCCGCCTTTCAAAGACAAGTCTGGACAGTTCTGTCAGTGCCTCAGAGAAGACTGCATGGCAGCTGTTTGCTGCTGCCATGTGGCTTGTTCAACACGTGTTGGGAAGTCGATGTCCGCACGCCGGGGCTGGAGTCCGGAGAGATGAAATTACACGCTGAGTCCAGTTTGTGCCCGCAAACCAACCGAGGGGAGTCAGAAAACAAGCGCTGAGTCAGGAAGCGTCAGGTGGAGCCTCAAAACCGCGATCATCTGCATGAGCAATCAATTAGCGACAACTCACAATCCCAGGGGTGTACAGAATGGAAGTTTGGGATTCGCAAGGCCGCTTCTCATCACCATAGGCTTGCTGTCACTTCATCCTCCCAGAATCGTTGATTCAATAACCTGTTTTTTCGTTTGTAATTATGTCCTCGGTTTGCTACTGCATCTTGTCAGGGTTTAAGGCAGTCTTTTCAGAGAGTCCACTTTCATGTCTTGTCGTGCTACCGCAGCAATGTCACAAGAAGCCGCCTTAAAAGCAGGCAACCTTATCCCCTTGAACCCTCACAAGAGGGGCCTTAGATTCTCACAAGAGGCAGCGGCCTTAAACCCTAGCAGTCCTAGCAGCGGCGTTAAGCCCATTTTAACAAGAAGCGGCCTTAAACTCGTCACAGAAAGAAACCACAGAATTGCCAAAACTTGGAACAAAGGTTTGGACAGAAGAGTCGGGCACGTGTTGTATCAAACAGTTTGAAGATGCAATGCAATGTGTCCGCTAAAGTGCCGCAATGGCTCCGCCGAACGCTTTTACACAGGAGGTCTGGGCATATAAGGCTTATAGAGAGCATGCCATCAGATGCCCCAGTCGCTGTCTGATGTACACAAGCGAGCTCAAGCCTTGAGGCTCCCGAGAAGATTTGTGGTTTTAGAGTTTGCCACCTGCGGCCTGCATGGGGGTCTCGGGCTTCGGGTTTAAGTCTAAGTTTTGGGTGCCGGTATGGGCTCATATATATCTATATATACATACATACACGTGTGTATATGGTACCCCCTCCTCAAAACAAACCTAACTCGAACGCTCTTTTCTTAAACACTCACTTACAAACCTCTGTGTGGTATATATGTATATACATATATATATATATGAATCTGTTGCGATGTATATACATACATGCATACATATTTCCATGCACATGTGTTTGATAGTGCAGTTCTATATAGTTTACTACAGGCATTAGCATATATATTTATACACACATGTATGTGTGTGTATATATATATATATGTATATGTATATGTATGTTTTTTACAACATACACACACAATCACGGGGTGGTGGTGGTGGTGGTGGTGGTGGTGATGGTGGCAGCAGCCGCAGCAGCCGCAGGAGGAGGAGTAGTAGTAGTAGTAGTAGTAGTAGTAGTAGTAGTGCATTGCACACGTCTCACGTGGCTGCATCCTGAAATTGAGGACCCTAATAAGCAACAAGAGCTACGCTCCTCCTCGTAGAAGATCACATGCTTACGAACATCCGTGCCGAAAGACATCAGTCCATCGAAGTGAGATCAAGGTTTTCCGGAGCATCGTCCTCTCCCACGCTTGAGTCAATGACATTGGCCGTTGAGCCATCGGCGGGCCCTGGAATGGTTACCGGCTCGTAACATAGTTTCATTTTCCGGGGAGAGGCCGAAGGAGCCGAAGGAGCAGAGCCACTCGGAACGCCTCCTTCTGGGCCCTGCCATCACGGCGGCGTTGACGGACTACTTCACGCGAGCGGAGGCCACAACGAACATCGTCGCGGCCATCGCCTCGGCACCGACACGTCCCTGCTGGACTGCAGCACGACGGCACAGATGATGGCGACATCGCCGATGCCCTCGTGCCCTACGGCACCGTCGTCCCACTACCACCACTACCTCCACCACCAGTTCCACTACGACGACAACAACGACGACAACGATGTCGACTACGACCACGACGACCACGACGACCACGACGACCACGACGACCACGACGACCACGACGACCACGACTACCACCACTACGGTTGCGACTACTGCTACTGCTTACTGCTTGCTACACATTCAAACAGTCACGCGAAGGTTCCGCGATGGTTCCACGAAGGAAAGAAAGACAGTATTCTGCAATGAGGCCATATCCAGAAGAAGGAATACTGATCAATGGTCCAGCGAATATAGTAGATTTAGGCAATATGATGATACATCAATCGATACGGTGGTGTAGGGTTCAGGGGTGTGATTGCGTCGGCCCCAGTTGCACCGTGCATAGGAAGCAACCCACCTCCAGCAAATCTGTTGGGTTCTTTGGCTCACAAGCGTCGACAGGGAACGAACCTCAACAAAACATGGGCTTTTTGTGAGGGTGCCCTGGCGCCAGGCATGACGGCATGACAACAAGGCGTAGCCAGTAATGCACGACAACGATTGAGTGGTCCAATTGGAACGACATTGCGGGCTTCCTGTGATTTTGCTCTGGCGACGGGCATGACAAGCAGAAGTAATTAGGCAGCAGTGCATGTGGCCTTCAGTGAAGTTGTGTTGCCGGGCCGCGCCCAAAATTGGAAACATGAGGGGATGTGACAGCAAAAAACACAGAATGGTTTAGTTTCGTAAGGTGCCCAAACGCCCAATATTCGTCCGAGGAGCTGCGCCTGTTTTATCCCTTTCCGAACCGACTGTCACATGGAATCGGTTAGAAGTCTGTCGTTCAATTTCGGTCCAGCATCATGTCGTCGTCAAATCGTAAATAAGTTGATCTGGGTTAGACTCGACGCTGAATTCCCGGTTTGAGTTGCCGGAAAGGGCACTCAGAAGCAACCGCCCGGTGATGTCTCTCGTCTCGGAGGGTTGGCTCCAGTGATGCAGCCCAGGTGGTACTTCGTCAAGATGAGGGCTCTGCAAAACAGGTGCAGACCTAGACCTGTCATATCCTGTCATCGCAATTTGCATTCCGACAGCGGTTGGCTGTATGCAGGGACCGATTTCATTCTGCCTTCCGTGTGGGCGCATCTGGAAGCTTCCAGACCCGCACAACGGGCCCGGGCCCATGCCGATATCGCATGGAAAGTTGCAAGGAGTTGAGAGGAGCACTTTCTTGCTTGCATGCCAAGACATCGCTTGGACGCTGTTAAAATGTGCAGCTTCGGAGGCTCTGCACGCACTGCGGGAGCCAGGTCGAGGTCCAGTCGCGGCTGTCAATCGTTTTGGCTTTGTAGCTAGAAAATGCTGATCAGGTGGTTGATCCCGAGGCAGCCGGGAGGGAAGTTATTCGTATGGTGATCACAGAACTGCAGTTCTGTCTGGAGTCGCCGCTCAAGGGCCCACAGTCGAGGGTACGACTTATCTCGTAAGGCATCATTTGGATTGAATTCACTGCATCCTGCCCTGGTGGGCAGCAGAGTCGGAAGCCTTTCGGAGGACACTGGCAGGGAGGGGATTCCAAAATGCGCAGCTAGAACTGCAGTTCGACGATGTCGTGACTTAGCTGCTGAGCGGGGGCTGTTGGGTTCCGAAACAGGTGCCCCTTTCAAGGATTCGCAAACCTCTCAACCAGTTTCAGCTTATTGCAACACATTAGATATTGCTCTCTTTGCACGTGCTTCCGCTGTCAAGTTCCCGATGCTTCTCTTGACGAGAGGCACATCCTGCATCACAGTTGCTCAGTCCTGAGATCCGCATTTGTCCTGAAGGTCTAAGCAAGGTCGAAACTTTCACTTGGATTGTTGCTGAGGCAATGGGCAACTCTTCTGTCTGCCAGGTGTGTCCGAAGTACCTTCCGATACTTGCGTTGAGAGCCCGACTGCGCCACCGGAACTTGGCTTTTTGAGAGGCTCCGGATCCTCTCGCAGGCTTCATGGAAGGCTGGGTTTCAATTTCGGTTCAGCTGAGTTCCTTGCACGAGCCTCCACAAGTTCACTCTAATCCCGTACTTGCTCACGCTTGTTCACAACCTCGGAACGGGGTATACAAGTAACAAGTTGCTTGTTCCAGAGCCGGCTGCAGGTTCGCGGTACCTCAGCTGAGCACACTTGTCCTCCTGATCACGTCAGGCAGGGACGAACTTGCCTCGTTGCAGATGATCCTGGACGCATTCATCACATATCTCGCATTTTTCGATCGCCACCGGTCTTTAGAGCTTCGTGACGGGTGCGATTGCAAGCTTGTGCTTCTTTACGAAAAATCTCAGTGCTCATGAGCAGCATGCGTACTCATTCAATGGCAGGTGTGAATTAGCAAAGCTCATCCACGAGTAGGTTCGTTTGGGAGTCGTTGATGTCACATCGCTCCGCTCCTCGTGAGTACATAGTAAACCGCCAGTTAAAGCCGCCCCCGAGTTTATGGTACGTAAAACTGCAAGGCTCATCAGCATAGACTGGCCCTTCCAGCTTTGGCAAGACATGGCAAGACGCAGAGATTCAGAAGAATGCTCTAGATCGTGCTGGTGGTAGACTGCGGCGATGGATTGCACTGGCGCAAGTGCAAGGGCCTCAGACGCCTCAGCATGAGACGCTCGACTTTGTTTATTGAGCCTTGCTGAGGATGGAAGCTTGGCAGCGGTCCGGGTCCCCAACGGTTCGCCAACACGCTGAACCTATTTGCGGTGTTTGAGGCGCGTGCTCTCAAAACGTCGATGCCGGAGGCCAGGTGCTGTTCGGGTTTGGTTTCCTGGCGTGCGGCAATGAATTGTGAGTAGCTCCGGCGCCAAAGGTGAGAAAGCTCACCGGGGGCGACGTTGAAGGTCATGATTGGCTCGCCCCGCGGATTATCCAGCACGTCTTGCGCAAACTCTTGTGACAGGGTACTATAGTGGCAGGTGGGAGAAACATGAAGAACTCCTGGAAGCTGCACGAAAAGAGCTAGGACAGCGCGATGCACATCTCTCTGTGAATCTACCATGATGGAAGTCGAAATACGCACTTACGCCTTGCTGCCGACCCCGGAAAGAGGGTTTTAAGTTTGGGGCCCTGTGCCGGACATGCGGGAGCAGCTCGGTTGCGGACAGAGGGTTTGGCGTTTACGGGGTCGATGGTTGCTGATCGCGGGTTTGCTCTTACAACGCTCGTCTGGACGTTGGCGGGCAACTCAACTTGGCTTCGTTCGTTTGTCGTCCGGGCAGGCCAGAGGTCATGCCGGGATAGTGGTGGAACTGGTGAGGTGGCCGGAGGCTGATTGAGACTGGAAGGGCTTGCTTTAGACCATTTACTGCTACTTAAAATGGCGAAATCCTTGAGCCATTCTTGATGCCCAGGACACACCCAGGTGAGGTTGCACGGGTGCTTGACCGAACAGTGTCGAAACTATCAGACTTGCATGGTAAGTTCTACCTCTTGGCTACCGCTTGGCCATTCGCTGGCTTCGAGTTGTCTTAGCCAGCCGCCACCGCTGCCCACCCCCTAAGTGGAATGCACCATGACGGTGCAGCGTGAGCGCGGACTCAAGCGCCCACAAAGACGCACACCAAGACACTGCACTTGCATAATTACAAGCATGTCTCACGGATCATCGAATATGCCTTAGGGATTCTTGAAGCCTGGGTTCGTAAAGGTGTTTCTTTGTCAGCAGATCCTGGAGCACACGTTTTTGTTCGCTCCTCTCCCTTCCGTCCCGTTCAGGGGCTCCCCTTTCCCCCTCCTCCTCTTCGCGCCCTCATCCCCCAAGTTGATCCTGCAAAAGAAGCCTTCTAATTATTATTACATATTATTACTTCTCGAACGGTTCAGACACCTTAGCCTTGCTCGAGTTTGCTCCGGTTTTCTGGATGTTCTTCCATTCCGGTAAAATGGCAAGAAATGGAAGCTTCTTCAATAAACTGCACCTCTCTCGTGCGCCATGCAGTACTGCGAGGCAAAGACCCAACATTCAGGATAGATTACGGACCCTGCACTGACACCATCCTGCAGACTTGCCCTTGGCTTCCTCCGAATGCTCAGAGTTTGGGTTGCAAGGACCGCTCCACGAGGAGCTGCGAGATGTGAGTGACACATTTGGCCGTCTGCCGATGGGATGGCATGGCGCAGGATGTGTACCACCTGTGCTCGTCTCGAGGCTCCGAATTAGCATCGCCCTGAGATGCCCTTCCGTGTGTTACAGTCAGCAAATTTCCTCACAGGAAGCAGCTTCCTGTCTTCTTCCAGCCTTGCGGCAGGCGGATGTGGGAGCTTTTGTGGGACAAGAATAGGTGCAGGGCATTTTGCCGACGCAGGCACTGGCTGATGCTTCTCCTGCAGCACTACGTTCACAACTAGTCGAGGCATGGGACATTCGCACAAAGTTTCCTGAAAGACACTCCACTCCGTTCACTCGCTTGCCAGGTTTGCAGAGATGCAGCAGGCTACGCCGTGTACAGGTGCATCATCGGTACAATGGATTTTGGATGAGTGTCTAACGACCCGCAAGCGAAACGCAAGTGAGTGCGAGGGAGTTATAGAGCGAGGGAGTGACTGAGAGTGCAAGTGAGTGAGCGAGCCAATGCGTTGGGAATCGGATCAAACGTTTCTGTAGCCGTTCTCATTGCCGCCCGCAGTGCCCTCTATGCACGCCTTCAACCTAGCTCGTTCGTCCTCGTAGCATTGGTGAGGCAAGCCACGTGCTCAATACAAGACTCTGCCGGCTTCGGCTCGTCGGTTGTTAGATGTTGTGAGGGACCCATCACAGTCGTCCTCGGTACCTTGAACGTTGCGGTGGCGGTGCATCCAGGAGAGGGGTTGGGGTGGTGCCCGCAAAATAAAGGGGTTTATCGTCGATACCGTGACTCATTTCTCTGCCATCTTCAGGTCTTGGTTTCGCGCCGTTGTGGATTGCCTGATGACCTTGAGTGTTGCATTGCTGCACTTCTTACTTGTGCCCTTTGTTTTCGGGGTTGGAGCCTGTGCTTGCAGGTCTCGTCGTCAACGACGGAATTGTTGAATCATCAATGTTCCGTGTTTTTGGCTCCAGTGATTTCCTGCAAAGAGCCCATGCGTGATCGATATTCGTTAGGTGCTCAAGTGGAAGATAGTCCACGGTGAGCGAAAGGTCCGAGCACGATTATGCTTGAGGGGCTTCAAGGAGAGCGGCGCCGATGATTAAAGCACCTATGCTGCCAAAGCCACCCGGTTCAGCCGCCTCCAACGTCAATAGATCTTCAGGGCTGTTCGCAGTGCCCAGGACGGATCGTACTGACTTTGCCAAACATGTGTTGAAGAAGATGTGTCGGAGGGTCTCCCCTCAGATGTGGCGCCATGAGGGGTTCAAGATGCCAACAACGTTGGCTAAGGACAGGGAGGAAATGATGCAGTTTCTTCAAGAGCATCGTTTGGCAGACAAAAACTTGTTGCCTCAGCCACTGGAGAATATCGTGCAGTTCCTCCGCGAAGGCGATCGTCGTGGCCATCTTTCTGCTCTCGCGTGCAACCTTGAGGTCATCCTCGGGCCGTGCCCGGGCAAGACCGTCTTCCCTTGTAGAGATTAAGACCGCAACCTCAACGATCGCAGGGTCAGCATGCGTTGGGCCAGCGTGTCGAACGGTCTTCGGCGATGCTCGTGAGGACCTGGGACACACATGTGCGCAGATCCCGCCACCTTGTGGTTGACGTTGCCTTTTACGAAGAATTTGGACACCGGTATCCCATGCCCAGCGAGCATGGAATCTTTGGGTGATCTCTTGCGCAACTCACTTGAAGCTATGCGCTGGGTCCAGTGCGGAAAGGGCGATGGGTGCAGCATTCTTACCAGTGGAAACAGGCACCAGCGGCCCCAGCGCAGGGTAATCAGATCGACTTGCCCTAGTGCTTTACCTCAAGACGAAGGGCACGAACGGACAGGCCACAACAGAGGCAACGCTGACCGACCGACAAGCCACAACAGCAGTCGAGCAAACAAGTTGTGGAACGCTTGCAACCGGGTCACTGTGCGTGGCAGGGTTCTTGACGTTCCACATCCCCGCACATAAGCGTGGTCCTTCACCCTAGTTTGCGAAGGAAAGGGAGCAGAAACGAATGATACGGAGAAAGAGAGAGGTTGCCAGTTTGGCTCAAGCCATTTTGCCTCAAGTGCTGGGTATACACCGTTTGCTTCGAGGACCTCAACCCGGGCGCCGAGAGAGCCTGCGCCGCCGCAGTCAGGAGCTATCGAGCACATCGGGAAGGTCAGCACTACTTGTCTACATCGCAGGGCTTCGGGGCGATGAGATCGGAGGGACACTGCTCATCGGTGACCGCTGCTCCTTGGCGGCGTGCGGGGGAGGCTGTGCACCACGATCGGACCGTGATTGGCGAGCCTATATGCACCCGACCAGTTTCAGCACAAGTTCGAGGGGAGATACAGTACCCGCAGGGTGAGTTCGTGATACGACGGCAATGGCATCAAGAATGCATTGCTAGGGGGAGAGGGAGCAGACGGCAGGGCGCAGGCCATGGACGCAGAAGCGGATGTCAGCGAGGAAAAGGGGGCAGATCAGTCCCCACAGAGAAAAGGCAGAGTTCAAAAACAGACGCTCGCGTTGTCCATGCTCTGCTCTGTGCTTGGAAAAGCGTGAAAGAGACCGTGCTCCTGTGGCGCAAAGCCTGGCCGGGTTCCAAGGGGGACGTCAGTGCTATGCAAGGAAAGGTGCAAGCAGTCGGAAGATGCCTTCAAGGTGCTTGACCGAATCACCAAGGAGGCTGATGTCAAATTCGAGCAGCACCTCCTGGCCTTGGAGCAGAAGCCGCCCACTTCCTCTTCGGGACCGGGGAGTACCGCTGACACGGATGGGGGGGCGGAAGCCAACGTTTATCATGGGATCCTGGCATCCCAACTCTGCAGCCGAGGAGACCCTCAAAGCCGCCAAGTAGCCCCTTAATGCGGAGGAGCCTTTTGTTCCCGGACTGCGCCGGGGGTATGCCATCTTGCAAATCACGCCGACGCCCCTTGAGAGTGAAGAAGCGCGCCGCGTGCGAGTGCAGGGGGCAGTCCAACGAGCTCGCAGCGCCAACATCACCTTGGGCACGAATGATCAGGGGGCATGAGGACGGGAGAGACGGCGACTTGCGAAGTTGGCGGGAAAGATCAAAAACACCGTCCTTGAACTTGGTGGGGATGCGAAGGCCATGGAAGTCGAGTTTGCCACAGGAACTGTGTAGATGTGCAACGGCGGAAAAGCCAACGGGGATGAGGCAGCCGGTGCGGGGTGGGCTGACATCCCGCTCTTGGCAAAGACTCTCCGCAAGTCGCTCCGTGAAGTCGAGGCAGTGTGGGGGCGTGGGTTCCACACTGCGGAGCTCCAGTGATGGGGCCAGAGAGGGACAAGATTCACCGCGCAGAGGGGACCATGATTTCCCGCCAGCACTGCGAGTGGGATCCTGAAATGTGGGCGGATCCTCGGCGACTCGGCGCAACATGCGCTGGAGCTTACCCACAATTTCGTAGGGGACGCAGACCTTGAAGTTTTCCAGGTCATTCTAACGCAAGAAATTGTCGCGGAGCCGGGGTTCGTTTTCATGAAGACCATGGGATACCATGGGTGGATCCTCGTTTACGGCAAGAATGAAGGTGACTGGATGGGTACAGCCATTGCATACAGAGACAACAGAACCAAACACATACTACCCCATAAGGAAAGAGTCATCCGCTACTTGTCAGTCAGGCCACATTCCGCACCTTGCCACCGTGCCACAGTCTGAAAGAATTATGGGAAAGTGTGGGCCCGCACCGCGCAAAGCACGCATTGTGCTGGGGGTGGACGCCAATGAGACGTTCACATACGTTCACCGACCCCGACCTTACAGGCTGGATGACTCCGGAGTGGTGTGGAAATGCTTGTTTTTCCTGTTTCTTTGCTTTGTTCGTTTCTTTTGGTTTTGGTTACGAACGCATGTTCTACAGCACAAGCCGTGTTTTAAAACACAGACGTCAACACGAGGAGCTTAGTAAACATGCACGTGCGTGTTGAAAGCATGCAGAAAGGACTGTTGGCAGAAAGGAACGAGTTCCCAAACTAGCCCTGAAGGTCTATATACGAACATCTCGTCCCCAAACTAACCTTGAAACTATATAAACGAATATCTCGAACATGTACAAACCAAGAGTTTCCATCCCACGCAGCACTCTTTTGTGTTAACCTAACGTGCTTTAAGGGGGGATGTTGCTGTTGTATGCACTTCTGCCTCATCTGGTGTTGTCACTTTCTGGACCCTCGGAGATCAGGGCACGTACGCGCGCGGGAGGGGTGGGATGCTGCCCTTTTTGGCTGTGTGGCAAAAGAAAGAGAGACCATGTCTCACACCAACTGAAACCCTGGCGCAGTAGCTCTGTGCGCAGGACGACGAAGGGGCTTCGCGCCCCGACCCCCAACCGCCTAGCAAGCAAGCAAACAAGCAAAAGTCCATGGGATGATTGGTCCATGTTGCGGCTAGGTTTGACATCTTCGCCCCAGACTGGTGCGATCGAGTCCTTGCTGAGCTGGACCATCTCGAGGCGCAGCCCCTGCGAAGTAGCAGAATGGCGGGGATGTAGCGGCAGGCTGGCATGTGAGGTAGAGCCAAGATGCAAGGCAAGTGGTGCAAGGCAAGTGGCATTCCTCTCCGTCGGCCGAACGGCATGAATCGCTAGAAACTCAGCATGGTGCACGCCCAGGCAACGTTCAACCATAAGAGTTTTTGCTTGAGCTCCACCACCAAAGCCGCTGGTTTACGTGCGTGCTAGGCTATGGAGCCATTCTCTCGAACTTGGGATTTCAAGAAGGGCTGCTACAGCCGTTGATGAGGCGGTGGACTCCATGCAGAATTAACATTGTGTGTTCTCAAGCGGTGAAGGCTTGTGGTGAAGCCATTGGCCCGAGAGCTGTCAGCCCTTGAGCTTTCCTGGATATTCCTTGTTAACTGTTCGCGCGGAACGACTTGCGCTCCAGGGCAACTTTGCTTCACCGGCTGAGGTGGCCTGAATGGGTAGATCCGAAGGATTGCGCTGAAACCTACGGCTTCGTGGTGCGATACAGGATCGCTTTAAACATGTTTCAAAATCATGTAACAATGTAACCCGATGTCCCGCCTGCTACCAGTTCATGCTCGCAGGATTGGCGAGGATGTGGAGCTTGCTGAGCACGCAGACACTTCCAATGTCACTTTGAACGTGTGTCCACTGGCTAGCTATGGCTTCGGCTGGCATGCGTGCAGACGTTCATCTTTTCGTTGAGCTCCCGCATGTTTGTCCTTCCTCAAATCTCAAATACTGGCCGAGTTGAGGTTGATGTTTCTGTATACAGATACGGCCGGAACACAGTATTCATGTTTCTGTAGAAGAGTAGAGGCAGCTGGCTGATTCGTCTCCTTCGTGTGAGGGTCTCTGCCCAGAGGCATTTGCAGATCACCATCTGTCGGCCGATTCATCAAAATGTGTTGATCTCTTTGGTCTTTTTGGGGTCGGGGGCGTTGCAGACAAAATTGGGTAAGCTGGATAAGCTGCGAGTGCTAGCAGGGTTTGGAAATGCTTGTCAGCCTTTCATCAGTCAGAACATAATCATATGATGCTTTGCTGAAGCAGCTTGAGTTTACATGGCCGCGGATCTGAGGCTTGGGAAAGGAGTTCACAGCAGGCGAGCTCTATTTTAAAGGTGCGCAGTGGAAAGTCATTCTTGATTCAGGGCATATTCAGTTGTGCTTCCTCCTTCGATGAGTCGTGAGCAGGAGTACGCTTCACCCCATCGCAGGATGATGTTCAGGACGCTATGTATGTTTATGGCCGCTTATGGTCTTGCAACTGCCAGGCTGCTGTGATCGGTCCCCCAGCTTGTGACATGCAGGAGCACTCGGTCTTCCACAGTCGCGGGTCTGACCGAGCCTAAGTCGCGGACCGCTTGACGCTTGGGATCATGATCCGTGTCTCCAGGCTCTGATACATTTGGGTGGGCACTTCCACGGCTCGCTCCTTGGGCCTTGCCTGCTCTGCAAGGACACAGGCTGCAGATGCAAGGGGCGGCAACCATTTAGCTGAAGGTAGCATACTTGCTACATCTGAGCCCCGAATGACTGTAGTTTCTTCGCAGTGATGTCGACAGAGGTGCAAATTCGGGAATCTTCAGGCGGATAGGTTCAACGGTTGAGGCTTTGTTCGGGGCAAGTCGGGGAAGATTTCGCAGCATAAAGGATGTGGTTTCTCGCTGGTGATGCATCAAGGAGCTCGGGTTCGTAGCATCTCGGCTTATGGCATGACGGATTTCGTTAGAGGTGTCTAGCTTCTGGTTTTCAGAGTGCCGGGCATCAGCAGGGCCCCTAAAATATAGCCTTGCTCTTGCAATCTTGACTTGTCCTGGCTCGGCTCGGACAAGTCGGGACGAGCCTGTCAGCTTTCCGACTCTTGCCGCCTGATCTTATCAAGTCTTGCCAAGCCGACCTCTCGTCCTCTGAGGCGCAAGGCCGATCACGAGCGGAGAGCGCTCGGAACTCAGGCGCATGGACTCACTACCAGTAGGGCGCAGGCGTTTCCGAACTTCCAGCCATGTCTGGACAAGGTAGCAACCTCATCCTCTGGGGAACTGGAGATGGTGGGCAGGCAGGAGTCTGATTGATTGACAAAGGTCCATGAGTTTAATGCCACCCGTCCAGTTTCCGTGCCGGGTAGCATTGCTTTAGTGCAGATATTCGACAAGGTCCGGATTCGACCAGCGACGCCAAAGAGTGAAGCTATGTTGTGAAAACAAGCGAGATCTGCCCAGTGTGCCGTGATCTCATGATAGCATGACACTTCAGCATGTGTACCAGTGGCCGTAGATGTTGAACGCTTCCTGCGGTCAGTTCAGTGTTGGCGTTGCCAACAGTGGAGTGGGAAACGCCGGTGCCTTCAGGCACTTCACGAACAACTCTCTCGTTCAAAGCTTGCGAGCGTCGAAGGCAGTTTCTTGCATTGTCGCTGTCACATCAGCAAAGGTCGAGGAGCTAATAGAGACGGCTGAGTAGCATTGCCGCGCAGGCTCGGACATATGCTGCCACCAAGATGACATCAAAGGCACGCATCTTCCAGCTACACATGATGCAGACTGGCACCTGCGAGCCTTGTCAGATCTGCAGTGCTGACAGACGGCCCCGTGCTGCTTCTTGGTCCGGCCCTTTCCCAGCAAGGGCCGGACATGCTTGGTACGCTAACTGTAGCTCAGAGCCCTTCACCCGAACTAGGTGCGGGCAGCGCCTTTCTGCAAGGACTGCAAAACTCACACGTGTAACGCCACGGCGGCGACTCGGCAACTACTCGAATGCCGCAGGACGGTTGTACCAGCTCAAGAGTGAATGCTTGAAAGTTGCCTCCGGCCGTGGGTCTGAGCTTGCTCCGTCTGAGTCTCATGACTTGTGCAGACTTGATTGGCTAAGGCAGTCCGGAGTGCACAGGCGCAGCCCACGGCCTAAGCCATGACCAGCACCTGTTGAAGCATTTGCTGATTGGTATCATTTGGTAGAGTCTTACATGGTGCTGTCTGCTTCACTAACAAGCAGAGACTTTAATTCGAGCTTCAGAGCTTGTATAGTCATTATGAGCCGAGCTTGCGTCCTGCAAGCTTTCTCCTCGCAACTCGGACCTAGGGCATGAAGACGTGAGATGCAGGTTCGCAGGTTTTCGCAGCACTTCAGCATCGTGTCGAAAAGCTCAATGTTTGGCCGAGCGCACGCCGTGGCGAGGATCACTGCCAAATTCAACAGATGCGCAAGTTCACGTGAGATTGTGTCGTGTGTGTCTCTAGACTTACCCAAAAAATCTTAAGTCAAGCTGTCGTCGGTCATTAGGCGCAGGCTCCTGCTGTTTACGCTCGCACGTGCACTTTCGGAATTAGATTAGATGTGGAGGTGCGACAAGCTTCTGCAACAGGCTTTGCACGCTGCCCTCGGGCAATTCATCTTTCCATTTCCTCTTGGCAATGCCACGCGGACTTTGGATCTAGAATTTTATAGGACTAGCTTGCCTTGCTAGTTTATGTGAGCCTGCTGCCTTGCTGAACTTCCAGGGGCTGTTGCGAAGCAGCACAAGCAGCACAAGCAGCATAAGCAGGTCGATTGCTCGCGCCAACACCCGGCCACAACAACACTGTCATGACGGATTGCTGCAGATGATTTCGACTGCTTCTCAGCCTCTACAGCTGTGTTACATGTGACACGGCCACGGGCATCTCGGCTTAAGGCGGCCAGACTCAAGGCATTTACACAGCGAATATGTACCGTCACGAAACTGCTGCAACGGTAGATGCAATAGGTACGACGCGCTCCCTGCCACCTCAGAAGTTACGCTCTGCAGTGCATGCACATTTCTCACCAGCATGGAGATTCCCTCCAACAGCTGTCGCTGTTTGTGAGAGCATGGCCAAAGACAAGGGTCAGGAGGCATTGACAGCGCATACTGTCTCTCATGTCCGTCTCGATTGCTTCGATGCTCAAGGCTGCGTTTCTTACTCCTCTTGCCTTCGCAGGGCCTTCCGGTGAACTTCGGCAAGTTTCTAGCGCACACAGACAAGCTTGTTTCTGAGCTGATGCAGCCTCATTGCGAAGCTGTTGAGACCGAAAAGCGCCCTGCCAAGGGTGGTGCGGGATCGTGGCTTCAAAAGGTTGAAACGATGGCTGGTGAAACATCCAGAGCTGGAAAGGCCCTTTGACGATACATCAGTGCGTTCAGTCATCCATATCGTGATCGGAAGGCTGGAGTACATGAAAGTCTGGAAGGGGTTGTATTTCGCCGTATGGATGGCCGACAAAAGGCCTGTGCAGCAGGACCGGTTCGGCGATGCAGTTTCGCGGGTGCCAGATTGCCTCTCCCCTCGACGTTGCACTTCCCCCACAGCGCCTGACAACAGGGGTACAGTAGCCATCGGCTCGGGGGGCCTCGACAGCCCCTTGACGCCCCGGAGAAAACCATTGTGTTTTTTTTTTGAGCTGGGTTCTCCATGCTTCGGTTGATGTTGTGCGCAAACCGAACCCCTCATGTTGTGCACCCAAACCGAACCCTCAAACCCTGAATGGCAGTGGTTACGCAATCTTTGAGCATCACGCACGATCTTTAATGTTCCACCACGCGGCTATTTTTGCTTAAGTCTGTGTTTTCTGTTTTGTTGTCAGGTGCTGTCTGCTGTTTTGTTGGGGCGGTTGCTGGGCATGTCGCTCGATCCTCTTGGTCGTTTGGTTCGCCGCCTTCGGAGTGTGGCGGCGGCCCCCGATGACCTCCTGCAGCAGATCACAATTACTCGAGATCACAAGACCTTACACGAAAAGTCTGAACACACACACACACACACATACACTTCAGGGTCCTGTCCATGGGCGGCAGGGGCATATTTTGCGGGTTCTTCCAGGGTTCGGACTTCGGCGTGTTGGGGTAGTAGTCCTCCACCGCCCCTTGGAAGATTGGGCTGTGAAAGAGTTTAGGGTTTAGGGGTTTAAGGTTTAAGGTGACGGGGCTTCCCAACCCGCGTCTCTAAGCGCACGGGGCTTGCCAACCCAGTTGCTTATTGTATGACGGGGTTTCCCGACCCACTTCCTTATTTGACGGGGCTTGCCAACCCAGTTCAGTGTGGGTATATTAGACGCAACAAAGATTCAGAAGTCATTCCAGTCAGTTCCAACAATCCAGGCTGCCATCCTACGTCTTCTGGTAGACCAGGTCCTCCATGTGCACACATAAACGCACTATACTTGGAAAATCTTCTAGAGTCGATCCAAGCCCCAGGTAGTTCCGGGCACTTTGGCTTTTTCCTCGTTGGATGCGTGGTCCTCAATACCAGCTTCGGCTTCAAACCGTAGAGCAGTCGACGGGCTTTCCAACCCAGCTTCAGCTTCAATCACGGGCTTTCCAACCCGCATACTTCAAACATTTTCCAACAAATCAAATCTGTCTGGGCTGTCCAACCCATAGGGTTCCGGGTGCAGCCCCGATGCACATATGGCCGAGGTCCAGTCGGGCCAGCTGTCGGTGGCTTCGTAGTCCCACCCAACTTCCGGCAGTTTTCTCGCCAGTAGTTGCCTCCTCGGTACCATCGACTCGAGCTCTACAGAGTTGCTTAAGATGAAGTCCAAAACACAATCCTATAAGTCCCAGTGGCCATAATATAGCCTCCACTGTCGGCCCCGTGCGATCCGGCACCTTTCCAGTCATGACTTCAGCTAGCTATCCTCTAAAGCTGCTTTGCTCGAGCACTTGCGGCGTCCGGCCGGCTATAAACTTTCCAACTCCTTGCCTGACGCAGCCGGGCTTTCCGGCCCTTCTTTGACCTGATCCTTCAAAAATATTTTCTTCTGGGGAACTGGGTGGGCATCCCGGCTGAAAGTGCCGTGCAGAGAGGGCTGTGGCCAATATAGTTTCACAAGATGATAGAACCATGCAAAAAGTTTGCCGTTTGCAAAGGTAGCAGTAGAGTAGAAAGCAGCCATATTACGAACATTTGGATGAACATGCATGAGCGTGAGCATTGGTGAATGTTCCGAAGGAACTTGCAGTGAACATCGCCTTGCTTTTGAACGATGTGCCTCAAGAGAAGCCGGAGCCTTACAACTGCAGCTTTCAGAATGGCTGTGTCATGCCGACAAAGGCGAACGCTCTGGATTGACACGTTCTGGGAGACGATGAAAGCCTGGGCCTCAAGCCAGGCTTGGCCTAGAGCTCAGAGGTTTTTTTTGACTTTTGTTCGTGTGTTGCGTCGCCCCAGTGTCGTTTGACGAATGCCCTATTGTTGGGCTTTCTACACATATTTTCATCTTGTTGTCTCTCGGGTGTCCCATCCTCTTTGGAGAGCTCGTACTTTGGGACTTTCATTGTTCTCATGTTGTATTGAAAAAACACAGTGCGTGAAGATGGCATGTGTGACGAGTTTGACTTTCCCCGCGGTGCGACAACGCTCAACGCACACAAAAGCCATGTAATCCTGCCGGTCTCAGGGAGCCGTGCAATTTCCATCTGAATTTTCCACAATTCGCAATCGTGTTCTCGCAACCGTGCCGGGCATAACTATGGCTGTGACTCATCTTCCTGCCACTGTCTCGTGCATTTCCGCCATCTCATCAAGTGTCGTGGGGATATGTGGGGCGTGCTTGGCATTTCGACCTTCTCAAGTCGTGTTCCTGCCGCAGAGCCACGGGGTTCTGGTGCATTTTTGACCCATGGGGTCCCGGCACTCCTGGAGTTCTGGGGCTTTTGCTCGGTCGCATCGCTAGTTTGGCGTGATTGGCGTGTCGCTTGCAGTGGGTGACAGCGAGATGCAGTGGAGTTGTTTTTTGGTGGCAGGATTGTTGCTGACTATCTTGTTCCAGGTCTCCTGGGAGAAGCTGGATGTCCACCGGGCCCAAACCCCAGGTTAGTCAACTTCAATTCTCGGCATTCCGCATGTTATGCCGCACTTGACGGATGCTCGTGATTGTCGGCCCAAGGTTCTGCGCATGTTCCCTCGATGATATGCCTTTGCATGATTCCGATCTCCCATGCTCGTGCTAATTGTCATGGTTGCGAGGATCTTATGGGCATGGTAAGAGTCCGTTTTCCACAAGGTACTGTAGTTTTCAACAAGGTAGTTTTGATAATGGATGACCGGCTATGGATGCACTGTCTCCACCTCCGTTAGACCGCACGCCTTCCGCGCACAGCAGGTGCGACGAACCTTCTGCTGAGCCAGAGACAAAACCCCTCATTTGTCCCCATCTGCTTGCAAGGACGAACACCCGTACCAGAAGTCAGTGATGTGCATTGGAGACAAGCCGGTGTGGAAATCGAAGTGGCACCGGTAGGTACACAACAGCAGCAGCCTGGTGTTTTGAGCGGCACTTCGAAGGACTTGGCCTCAGTGCTGAGCGATGAGCGCATGCAGATGCACGCGAAAGAGAATAATTCTGCATGGCTCTGGCGCGGCGTGTTACGGCAGCACTTGGTCCTTAAGGCCAGGAGCTTCGACCGCCTGTCCGAGTCGTTGTTTTCGATTGTAGGGGCCTCAGCTCTCAGCTGCCCCTGCCGATCACCGGCAAAAGATACAAAGTGACGTGGCTAGCCAGGGCCAGGGCCTTCGTAAAGTGTTGCATTCGCAGTCCGCAGGTGATGAGACGCTCACGTTGTCCACCTTCCTTCCCGACGATGCTGCACTGCGAACACAGTTGGATTGGACATCACCGCGGGGGCCCCAACAACGATTGATACACAACCACAGCCCAACTGTCTGGTCTCTTCATCCTCGATGCCGCTAATGTTCCTATGAAGGTGGGAGGAGTACATTGCCACCGTGAATTTCGAATCTCCTTTCGCAACTTCTGGCGACTCGACATTTGATGGGCGGTGTGACCTTGACTCTTTGCCCTTCGTTGGAGGGTTTTGTCGCGACCTCCGTGCCAAGAGCTCTCTGAGGCCGACTAGCCCTGCTTCGGGAGATGCTCGAAGACTTGCGGAGAGGTGCAGAATAGCGTCATGAAGCAGCTGGAAGCTGAATCCTCTGCAACAACCGGAAGGAACGCACAAGCTGCCTGGTCGATCGCTGGCGGTGTTGACCCGAAACACCAATGGACCAGTCGCGTGCTTGAACCTCTTGAGGCCAGGGCGGGTGTCATGAAATGGCTGTGTGGGCTTTGGTGGCTTCAATTGTAGGTGCTTGGGTTATCTTGGCCGCGGCCAGAGTTTCAAGTTAATCATGATTTGCGACCCGACATGACAAGAGCAGATGGAACAGTACCAGCCGTTGCACAAGAAACGTTTGCAACACAGCCGCAGACCGTCCCGCCCCTGGAAGCACCATGGCCTGCATGCCCGGTGAATAGGTCCCGGAGCAGTGGAGTGTTTCTATACAGCACAGACCACACACCCTGCGCAATCAGGGCCGCCGAGCTCGCTGATCTGTTCGATGCGGTCTGGTGCATGTCCCATGTGCCTGGCATTCCCGCCGGAATCTATCGTGCAGGGACAGACGCTTGAATGCCTGTGAGCACGTGAGACGCATGAGAACGGCTTCTAGCTAAAATGCTCGCGAAACTTTCGCCCCAGAGACATCTCGTGGTTTGCATGGCAAGCAAGGACTGGGTGGCATTCGATCCACCACTTGCTTCACTGCCGGACCACAAGGTAGGCAAAGTAGGCATATTGAGCATATCAGTGCTCATACTATGAGGCGTCAATAGGTTTCACACTTTGCTGCGAATTCCTGTGAAGAGTCCAGGCGCACGTGCTACACAACATCGCGGACCAACCATCAGCTTGGTTCCCACAGAAGACGGATGGCTCTCTCATGTCGATGCTCCCAGATGCATTGAGGACCCGACAGCTGTGATCAGTGTTGTGCGAAAGGAACGTGGGGGTCTTCTAATGGCAGAACCAGGCCTCAGGAGATTATGCTGGTCGATGATGTGCGCACCAACTTCCAATGTGGGGGTAGCGATCCGAAGAAGGTGTACCGCTGCTGCAAAGTTGCACGCGACCTGGCTGCCTAAAGTATTCTTCGGTGTCGGATCGATTTTGGGAACTGTGCAGAGCAGAAACCGTGGCCTGCTTTGCGCAGGCTATGATGCGCCAAACTTTCGAGATATGGGACTCGTTCGAGACATGGGTGGGATCGGAGCGCACAACGAGGCAAGCCAACTACGATTCCTACCTTGGACGTTCAAATAACACAATTAAGTCAGGTTTTAATTGCTTGTCGATGATTTTGCCCAATAAATGCTGTAAGTGTCTCGCTCCATGCTAGCAGAAGCTCCTTGGAGACCCGTGCCAATTCGCAACCAGGATACCCCATTGAATCATGATTTGATTGGACGGTTTGGCGGCGGTAGTCAACACCAATGGTGTATTTGGTGCCTATCATGTTCGAAAGTAATGCATTTCGAAACAAGTATCGATCTAATGAGCGGTCGCACGTAGAACTTGAATCATGATTTGATTGGGCGCTGGGATAGCAAGCATTCCAAGCTGACCAAGTTAGGGATGTTGGGATGCTTATCCGAACAAGCTGTGGGGATCTTTTTTGATACAGGTAGAGATAGAGCAAACATCAAGTTGCAATGACGTGCGCATTCAGAGCAGATGGAACGTGAGCCTGTCATGCGACACAGTTGCAGTTCATCATGATTTCACCGGTGATGTCGGGAGACATGTCCAAAAACAGTGACGATCTCTTGATTGATTCAGCAAGAACTCGAGTAAGCATCCATTGTCTGTGAATGAGCTAGTCCAGTTCAGTCCAGGCTCGTCTCGCCTAGTCTGCTTTAGTCTACTCTAGTCCAGTCTCATAACCATACTTCTAGCGCTGCGCCGCCCGCCTCGGCCTGACTCCGGCGGGCGGGCCACATGTGTCTCTGAGTCTTCAGCTCTTCAGCTCAGGGACTGAGTCTCGAAATTTGGGCCCCCAAAGCAGCGGGTGTCACTTGACTTTGGCTGCAGGAATTGTATTCGGTGGGTACTAAGTGTCGGATTCATGTTGCTTGTGTGTGCTTAGCTGTTTGGGATAGCCCATGCGAGCCAAGAAGTTTGACCGGTTAGAAGCAGTGCCAGTACCTGAGTCATTTTAACGGAGCAGCGCTGTGACACAACCCACTCTGTTTGGGTCGGGTGAAGGGGAGGGCAAGTGGGGGGAGGGCGGGAGAGAAGGACCAGAGGAGGGGGAGGGAAGGAAGGGCAAGGGAGATCTGTGGGAGGGGGATGGAAACTTGCTTGGACCTGTGACCTCGGCGGAAATCCTGATTTAGTTGTTGTGTTGCTCTAGGAGAAACTGTTAGATCCTGAATTAATTGTGACATTTGGATAGCAGGGGTCCAAGACGGCCCGATGCCGGGCAATGAACTCCAGAGTTAAGTCTTTCTCACTCCGGGATTCCCTGCTCCTTACTTTGGGTCAAAAAATCATAGACAACTCTGACTGAGGTGTGTGGGGGTGGGGGGGGAGTGTGGGGATTTGATGCATCGGTTTATTGCTGCCACAGGTGGCTATGGCTTTCTCTGTCCCGCTTTTGGCCCTTCCAGGAAGACTACAAGACCGTGGTAGATTTCGCAAAGCGGCCTTGGGCATACAAAGTTGACTGGCGCGTACATTGCGTTGAGAAGCCGTTCGATGGTGCAGCGCTGCAGCCGCCGGTGCAGTTAGTTATCTTCGATTTCGACAGCGCGCTGACCTTGTACACCTTCATGCCGGAGGATCGTGGAGAGAACATCCATTGATTGCAGTTTTTTAGAGATTTTTTACGTATTTGTTGTTCGCTTTTGGCTCTGGCTTCTTTTGCTCGTTTTTGTTTTTTTGGCTTCTTGGCTTCTGAGTTTGCATTCTTTGCTTTATAACTTCTTGGCTTCCTGGCTTCTTCACTTTCGAACTTCTTGGCTTCTGGACTTTGCTTCTTGGCTTTGCGGCTTCTTGGCTTCTCGGATTCCGGGTTTCTTGGCTTTGTAAAACATTTTGAGCATGTCCTACAAATCCCATATAGCGTGTACCAGGTGTTCTGTGGTTAAGACGGTGTATGTATGTGTAAATATGTATGAACATGTATAACACATGTAATAGTATGCAACTTAACATTACAAGTCGTAGTCGTGGTGCTAGTGGTCGTCGTCGTCGTAGTAGTAGTAGTAGTAGTAGCAGCAGCAGTAGTCGTCGCACAAGTGGCGGTGGTAGTGGTGGTGGTGGTGGTGGTGCCGGGTGCCAGCAGCAGCAGCAGGACGGCCGAAACTCTTAATTATCACACCTTAAGTCGACATGTGTGACCAGTATGGCAGTGTGGTGAAGGACGCGTAGTAGCAGTCATTAGCGAGCTCGAGATTGGTTGCCCTGCCTTCTGCTCTTCCTCAATGCTAGCAGTAGAAGCAGCAGGAGGAGGGGTAGTAAAGGCAGGAGCTACTTGCTTCGGAGTTGCTAGTAGTAGTGGTGGTGGTAGTGTGCTGGTAAGGGTATGTAATAGTCGGAGTACGAGTAGCATCCGCAGCAGGCGTAGTCCTGCTCTTATTTGCAATGTCTTGCAGTAGTCGAGCTATGCAGCACACTGCCCAGCAACGCTCAACACTTCTGGCTAGGCTGTCACACATGCAGCACACTCGCAGAAGGTAGAAGTAGGATGAGTTGCGACAAGGAGGTGAACCAAAAGCTGCAGTGCAAGACTGTTGCAGTGCCACCTAGTGAGTATCATGCACTTCGGAAAGACGGTATGCGAGTGCCGTACACGTCGGACATTCTGCCATTCCAACGCCAGCATCACTGATAGCTGAGAATGCTGGAGACCCTTTTTTGTGGAAGGCTTTCGAAGTTTCTCGCGCATGCCCGAAACTCTCTTGTGCAACCTTTCCTCAGGATCCACGATGCAGCGCAGAAATCGGCTATGCACCCGAATCTGTGAAGCGACGGTACGTCCCATGGCTGTCCTTTTTCAGTTGGCCAGTGTTCGGGTGCATAGTTGTCTGGATTTCCAAACTCGCGAATGTTTGCATGGCATCTGACTGGTTTCCACGGGTTTTTTTCAGGTGGAGTACAACTTCGAATCGCCGTATTTGGAAGGAAGCAGAGTGGAGCAGCTGCAGAACCTTCTTGAATCGTTGTCAAGCGATCCTGAGACGGGAGAGAGGCAGGCCGGCGATTCTGTCTTGACCTTGCGTAACCGTAGTGCATTTGCGCAGGCGTGTTCTCGCGATTCTCACTATCAATGAGGCCAAACTGTTGCGTCGGACTTTGCCTTGCATGGGTGAGTTGGTTATTGCGGCTTTGCTCGTGAGGCTGGGGCTATCGCCGTACTGAATATTCTCATGATGGCAGACCTGGCGAAACATTTCAGTGCAGTGTGGACTCTATCAGCTCGTATCGGGCAGCCTGGTGGTGCCTATAGGACCGGCCATGAATGGAGAACGTTGCTCAGAGCATTGCAGCAAGCCTTGTGTCTTCTGGATAGTGTGCAAAACCAAGTCGTGCCTGCGCTGCGAATGTCGCTTTTCATGGCAGTCGCATTTGCATGCATCACCACCGAGATTTGTGACCTGTTTTGTAAGTTGGGCATATGGTTTCCAAAAGCCGTGTTGTCCTCATGCCGGAGTTTAGGTGCAACCACTCCAAGACTCGCTCTTAGTCGGGGATCCGAGGCATACAGCATAGCACACTTTATGTTCGACTGATGCATTAGAGTGGCCCTCTCCCTAGCAGGAACAAAAAAGGAAGTGGTTTGTGGATATGGTACAAAAGGATGGATGGAATGGCATGTATGACATTCATCGTGAAGATGCTGTGCACGTGCATCAGGTGAACAGGAACAGGTGTGTGTGGCAGGATGCAGCAGGTTTGGGAGGGTGCCTAGAGACTTGCACGGGCGAAAGAATCGAGCAAGGAGGTTTTCGTTTTGGGCCAAGGCGGCCGCACCAGCACGTTAGGCCTCCTTTGCATCTACAGAGAGCCCGAGCAGGCCCCGTGTGCACAATCAACCCTATACCGCTACTCCATCATCCACCTCAGTCCGAAGCAGTAACGTCACCGCTGGAGGTTTGGCCACTTAGAGCAGAACGGTCAGGCAACCTCTCTACCAAAAGATACGACCTTTTGAGGTTCACGCTGCCGGTCAGGGAGGCAGACGGACGACACAAGTCTTCGGTTTCTGGGCCGAAACCTGGTGCACACGGTGCAGCATTGGACGGTGTAATCTTTCAGCTTATTTATATCCTTCCCTCCGGCTCAAGTTGCACATTTCATGTTGTGTAGTCGTTTGGTACCTTCGCAAGGTGCTGCAGAGTCTTCTTTCGAGTCCGTCGGGATGGTTCCCTCAGATCTCCGGAGGCCGGTACGACTACGGTGCTGCAGGTTGTAGTTGTTGCACTGTTTTTCACATCTTGAAATCTTGCCAGGATCCGGGGAAGAAGCGATAGAGGAAAGACTTTTGTCTGGGCTGAGCCTGGAAAACATCGTCTGTGTCGATGATGCCCGTTCACCTTCGCTGTTGTTGGAAGACGATGAGGAGTTCGAAGCACTGCGGCACTGTGGCAAAGCGCAATTTAGTCTTTCGCATGAGAATCGCATGCATGCATCGTACGTAGATGCATGCTGTTCTGCGAATTCCACAGTTCTCAGGGCAGGGACTTGCAAGGTCGGGTTGCCAGCTACGATGACGAGTACCGTGATCAGGGCCTGCTTTGGCACATGGGAGGTCTTGGCGCACGAAGCGCCGAGGACTGACAGGGCGTGGAATGGATTGCAGCTATCTGGGGGCATGGCCGCAGGCTAGTGATTGTTAGTGCCGGTTCAGTGGCAGAAGCGGGATTGGAGCCGTTCACGTTTCGCCTGCCTCTCAAGCGTGGAAGTAGCCGAGCCCATTTGCAGCCATGGGCGTGTCGAAGGCGGGGGATCCCAAAGCACAATTTCTTGAACGTCCGGGGCTGGCCCCCGAAAGCTTGCAGCTATCTTGATAGCGTGAAGTTTGTGAACAAGAGATGAAGCAGAAAAGATGTCGTTGCAAAGTCATTAGAGGCTGGGTCAGATATCGAATCAGAGTGCGAGAACATTTTCCGGGACGAGCCGTGCTGATATGCCTCTCAAAACGTGGGCTCTGCCACCGAGGGTCGGGAAATCTTGCGGGGTCTCGTGTGCTTTCCCGTCTTAGGCAGTTGAGTCGGAAGTGGCGCGTGCTGTGTGGATGCTGGCATTACATTGTTGGCAATTGGCTTCGTCCGGCACGGCTTTGCAACACAAGGTTGATTCGCGTTTGACCCAGCGCTGTTCCAGTCATGAGCGTTTGCTGTGGCACGGTGGGGCTTTCGGTACCTCGCATGGCAACTTTTTTTGGTCGTTTCGTCTGTGTCGGAGTCGTGCCTGCGGCCTAGCAAGACGTCCAATCGGAGACTGGAAACCCGAAGCCGGATTGCAAACTTGAAGCTGTCACAACCCTGGCATCTGCACTGGTTGCGTTTGTGCGGAGCAGTTGAAAGCATCCCAGCATCATGAGCTGCAACACAGTGTCATGTGCTAGGAGAAAAGGATTGTGG